CCAGAGGGTACCAGATTAGAGAAGTCTGCTGAGAAAATAATCCCAAAACTTTGAAACTATACTTTGGGTCCAGCCCATAGCCTGGGTCCAGAATGGGCAAAGATATTCATGTTACTCACAGGCAGAGCCAGAAAAACATTGAAAGTTTCCAGAAATAGGTCATCATAAGTCAACAGATCCTCTAGAAGTTCTTGCCCTGAAGCAAATTAAACAGAATTAAATTAAAATAAAAGCAAGACTGTATAAATAGAATAGTTTCAAGACCCAATTACTTTTGCCGCTTTCAGGAACATGGTATCTCTGGACTGCACGAGGAGTTCCAGAAATGCTGATTACAGACAAAGCACAAAACATCTCAGTTAAGACTAGAAAATGTATTAATTTGCTTAATACTATCCTGCCCTTCCTCCAAGAAGCCCCAAGCGGCATACATGATCCTCCTCCTCTCCCTTTTATTCTCACACCAAGGGAGATTAGGTAGAAAGTCTCTACCTAAGTCTTTTAGGCTAAAAGTCAGTGGCCATACCAAAGCCACTCGTTGAGCAACTTGTTCAAGTGAGGATTTGAACCCGGGTCTTCCTAGTCCTAACTCTCACTGATGCAACACATGCTGATGTACAGGACTAGGAGGAGATCTAGAACTTCTGCTCACTTTTAGGTGACAGGCTCCGCTTGCTTCCTCCCTGTCCCTTTAAGTGTTAATCGTGCAAAATAGGGTTGTGCAAGTTGTGCCCCTCTAGATGTCATTGAACTACAGTTCCCATCATGCCTAGCCACTGGCTATGCTGGCTTATGGGAGCTGAAGTCCAACAACACCTGGAAGATCACAAGTTATCCACTCCTGGTACAGGCTTGGGAGTTTGCAAAAATAAATGCAAAACAAGGAGTTTGCATGCTCCTTACTGGAGCAAATGAAAACTTTTCTCCCAGAGATAATAACTGCTTTGAGATGGGGTAAGAAAGTGGCAGGGAAAGAGTTCAAATTTTTCCCCTGCATGCCACTGTCTTGATGCTGCTAGTTACTGTACAAGGTGTGAGCAAACTATACTGAAACTTAGAGAAAGCACATAATGAAAGGGGTAGGACAGCACACTTCTCCCACCTTAGTTTTACATTCTCCTGTTCTGGAAACTGGTCCAAGTGATGGAATTATGGGCAGGTTAGTCAAATGCTTGTTGGTGGTGTTGGAGTTACCCTAATAAAAGTCATAGTTTATATACATTAAAATATAGAGAGCCGCGCTGATCCTCTTCCTCTCCCTATATGCAGGGTTTTTTCTTCCTAGTTCCTTCTTGCTCTCAGATAAGCTCCTGATTGCCTAGCTGAAACAGGATTGAAACAATTTTGCAAGCCAATCTGAGCAGCTATGCTTCCTTTGCAATGTAAAAATACCGTCAGCTCATGCTTTGTCTTAAGGCAGTTCATGCTTTGTCTCAAGGAATTTTATATCACTGATTGCAGAAACCACAACATTTTAAACTTGTTAGATTTCTGTAATTCCTGATTGTCTTATTTATCTGTTACCCAAGCCTTCAATAGGTTATGTTTTTCATGATGCCCATAATGATTTTTCAATATTTCTGTAATATTTATTCCCCATTGTCCTCACCTTCTCGCCCATTCAGAAGCTCATCACTGCCTTGAAACTGTGTATGTGACCCACAACTTATAAAAAACTCTGTCTATGCTCTGGAAGCTCATAGCCAGTTCGGTTTACTGGCTACTCAACAGTGCTGCTGTTTTTCTCTGTCAGAATGGGATTCCTGGGGTGTCCTGCCAGTAAGCTGCTGAAACTGAATGTAGTGTCTTTTGTGTGAATCTGAATGTACATTCTCCTGGTTCTGCAGTTCCAAGATTTCCTGACAGTGAGTAACTCTAAAATCAAAATTTACTGTTTCTGTGCAGCCTTTAGCTAAAAATCTTAATCTTTTATGTTATACTGTTGTTTTAACTATTTAAATTTTATATTGTATTTAATGTTGTAAATTGTTGTAAACCACCCAGAGAACTTAAGTAGTGGGTGGTTAAAATTACTTATTTCTATAACAAATGTAATAAATAAAAAATAGTACCAATGAGGCTTAAAGTGAGGCTTAAGCTAGAGTACTTGCAAATGTATGTCTTTAAAAATAATTTTCACACTCTTTTTATAAGTTTATTTTTCTTGCAGTCAATACAGACCACCAGTTTAACATAGTAGGTTTTTGCTCAGGCTGTATTAATGCAAATTGCAAATGTGGAGAATTTGCTTTTCTGCCATAGCTTCTAAGGTGTAGCAACCTACACTGAACTGTGCCAAGTGGTTAAGGTTTCCCAGATTTCTGTCAGGGCTGGATGGCCATCTGTTGGTAGGTGATATGCAGTGAGAATCACTAAGAACTTAGAGCAGGGGTGGGCTATCTGTGGCAACCTGGTTGTTGCTGGGCTGCAACTCTCAGCAGCCCTAGCCAGAATATTAATTGGCAAGGGATGATGGGACTTGCAGTCCAACACCATCTGGAAGGCTGCAAACATTGCCCACTTCAGATATGATAGTATGAACAGAGCAAGAAAGGTTTTTCCCTGAGTTACAGTCTCATGACGAGAATGGTCTTTCCTAATTTTTCTTCATGGTTTTCTGATTTTAAATTCAGATATCTATGCCAACTGTTTGCAAATTTTGCAAAAATTCCATTCTTGTGAGAATTTTATAAATGTCCATTTGAGTTTTGGTGTATTTGAGGATATTTCTTGCTTGCTTAGTGAGAAGACACAGTTTGTGGATTGTGTGATGAGAGGACTTGTGCACATGTATGCACATGCACACATATAATGTTGATTTTAACATGTACAGTGAGCACTGTTTGCATATAAAACGTGCTGGAAAAGCTAAAGTTATGCATGCATTTGCTTTGCAAGCTAAACTATTCGTTGCAAAGAACAGATTTCCGCATACCCCCCAAATAAAGACTCCAGAGAGAAAGGAAACATTGTTTTGGCCGTAGCTGGTATGAATAACCTTTGAAAAAAGGATGAGAACAGAATAGCTTTCTGCTTCAGTAAACAACGATCCAAGAAGTAATGCCAAAGTACTGCATCGATGCATGAGATAAGTAGAATTAACGTCTTCAGGCCATAGCAACAGGATCAGTCCGTTTCTAAGGGCGGAGCAGTCGCCAACAGAACTCTCCATTTATTTGATATACTGGTATCCTGCCTTCTTTTCGAGTAGATCGAGGTGACATACGTGGTTCTGCCTCCTCCATTTTGGCCTCGCGCAACCCTGCGAAGTAGGCTGGCTTGAGGGACGGCGACCGGCCGAGGTCGCCCACTCAGCTTCACGGGTGGGCACGGCGCTCTGGCGGCGCGGATCCCCAGCCCCACGCCAGGCACGCGAAGCTGCGCGGCGCGCGTGGTGCGCCAAGACGCGCGCCGGCTCCCCGCCCGCCCGCCGGCTGCCTGCGCTCCCCTCGGGCGGCGGGGCGGCAAAGGGTTAAGCCGAGGGAGTGGCCGTGCGGCCCGCGAGCGCGCGCGCGCTCGGCGACACCTCCGCAGCTTGCGGCTTCCTCTCGTGCCGCCGCCGGCGCGCGTGGGCGCCTCCCGAGAGCCGGCCTACGCAGCCTGGAAAGGCCGCGCCCGGTGCGCCCCCGCCGCGGGAGGCAAGCGCCTCGCTTTCGCTGCCCGGCCCGTGAGGTTCGCCCAGCGCTTGCTCGCGGAGGCAGGCGCAAAATGCCTGGTAGGTAAGTGAGGAGCGGGGCAGGTGGGGCGCGCAGCACTGGGGAGGGCAAAGGCAAGGAGGCAGGCGGGGGCCGGCTGAGGGGGAGCTGGGCTACCTTCGCCTCCAGTTGACCTCAGAGGGACCCGTTCTGTGCACAACGGGCCGGCGTGCTGTGCTCCCGCAGCCCGCATTGGGGAGCCACGACGCCCGAAACCTTCCCGGGAACTCCACTCAGAATCGTGCCCTGTGAATCTGGATGCGCGGCAACCCTTTTGGACGGATTTATGCTTTTGCAGCGGGAGTAGTGCGCCCCTTACCTTCTGCGAGGCTCTTTTGGACGCAGTCCTATGCACGTTTAGACAGAAGCCCTACAACTCCCGGTATCCCCCAGTTTGCCACGCTGGAGGGTTCTGCAGAGGAAGGGTCGCCTTGGCTTTGACAGCAGTGGAGCCCATTCTTGAAAATGCCATCCTGGAATTAGGGCTGGCAAGAGGGCAGGTTTTGATTGATGGGAGGATGAATCCATGCAGCATTATGGCCATTCTGAATCTCCACCGCCACCCTTGTGAATTTTGTTTTGGGCAAGCCCAAGGTTTTGTGGAGAGAGGGCATATGGTTTCTCACAAGCAAAATGAGCACACAGGCGAACAGGGCTGTTGCTGCTTGTGGAAAGTTAGGTTTCCTCTTCCCATTTCAGTACAGTTTAGGAGAGGTTTGAGGATGGGATGGACTTATGAAGGGCTAAAATTGGTATGGGTGAAGCAAAAGTGTGGAGGCTGTGGATTTAATTAAGGCCCTTACTCTGTTTTTATACCTAATGGGGACACTTCTATAAGGGACATGCGAGGAATAAGGGAGGGAGATGTATCTGGTTGACAGCTTTTGTGGGTACAGGGATGAAGGGAGAGCTGATAGGATGTGGGTGGAAGGAAAACTCCAAGGTGGATCAGTGGCAGGGATGCCCTGTGTTCTGATACTGATGGAAGCTTTGATCCATAAACCCAGGTAAAGAAACATCCTGCTAGTCTGACCTTTTGGTATTTGTCCGCTTTCCTGCAGAGTGAAAACCTAGTTGCTAGCTCGCATAATATCCACTTTCTCTTGTTGGAATATTTCCCTAGCATTAAAGGGCGCTTCCAGACAGAGGGCTCCTAGCACTGCTGATAAAAGCAATTGTACAGCTGTTCTGTTTTTTTCTTTTCCTTTCTTACAGAAGGCCAAGGGATGAAAGAAGTAGTGGGAAAACACAAGGGGGTTACAAGTGGAAGACAACATCTGTACCCCTTACAAAATTTTGTGTATAAGTCAGGGCAATTGCATAACAAAAGCTTCATCTGGAAGCACCCAAATAGTTTGAGAAGATATATCACTTATTAATTCCACTAATTTCAGCAGTCTTTGACAAGAAAGAAATCAGAAGACTAAAGACGTTCTTTTGGAAGCTACCTTTGGCATGAAGATGGGAGAACATGGTTTAGCAGGACCTCAAGAAGAAAATGGCCTTGAAGTAGCTGAGCCTGCAAGTAATAACAAATTCTGGGAAAGAACAGTGCAAAAGATCCTGGATGAGGAGGACCTCATCAGCTCAGCTGTACGGTGCCAGGCTTTTAGGCGGTTCCGCTACCAGGAAGCTGAGAGTCCACAGGAGGTTTGCAATAGACTCTGCCATCTTTGTTGTAAGTGGCTGAAGCCAGAGCAAAACACAAAATATCAGATCCTGGACCTGGTGATCCTGGAGCAGTTTTTGACTATTCTGCCACAGGAGATTGAAAACTGGGTCAGAGAATGTGGACCAGAAACCAGTTCTCAAGCAGTGGCTTTAGCAGAAGGCTTCCTGCTGTGTCAGGCAGAGATCAAGGCACAGGTAGAACAGGTAGGAACATTTATCTTGGTACTTACAAGGACCAGGAGGAGAGCGAAAATATCTTCAACATATTTATCTTTTTTTTCTGGAAATCATCCAAGGAGGGGATTTTCAATTTCCCCAATCATACCTGTATACCACTTTTATATTTTATTATGGATTATTTAATTTAATTTTTGGTTAATTCACGGGCTGTATTGCATGTGGCTATATTTTATTGTGAGATACTTATTTATTATTTTATTGTTTTATCTGTTTATCTGTTTATTAATTGTTTTTATTGTACCTTATGTATTTGATGCTGTTTTACCATTTGTAAGCCATCCAGAGAACCTTTGGGTTATGGAATGGCATAGAAATTGAAATGAATAAATGAATGAATGCTATACCTTTTCTAATGTTCCACTCCCATTTTCCTCACACTGCTGTTTCAGACAAAGGGCTTTTTAGCAGACTTGGATAGCTCTGAAATGAAGAAGGTTCCACTGGACACCAAGCAGAAGCCACTGTGCAGGGAAATATCTGAAAAGAGTAAAAGAGGTACCAGCTCCCTGGGTAAGGATTAAGGGAGGTGTTTCAGTTTGGACTCCCCTCTGTCTCTTGTGTATACCTGAAGTCTGTAGATTCTTTATTTGTTGTCCTTAGTCTGTGTATGGAAGATAAAAAAGTCTTGTTCTGAAATTTGCCCTCATCATGTTCTAAATTGCAGATAGGAAAGCAAAGTTGTATGTGAGATTACATGGTGCAGATATTGGCATAGATGCCCTTAACTTACAATTTCCACAATAATGGATGAATCTGTTGGTTCCTTAACTCTTCTCTTAAATAAGCTTCGGTTATTTTTTGTTAGGGAAGATGCTCCTGGGATGAAGTGCATGTTGATTTTCTTAAACAGAACTTCAAAAGACACAACAGGTTTTCACAAAAATAGGAAATGCACATTTTTTTTTACAAATGTTTGAATGCATTTAAACAGGGGAGGAATGGAAGGTATGTTCTGGGTGGGCAAAAATGGTCATAAGCAGAAGATACTTGCAGCAAAAGAAAAACTTTTAAGCCACTATGTCTTGCCTATTTCTCAACAGATCAGAAATCTGGCCTGCATTTCGTGCTCAACATGTAAATTCTTTGTTCCAGTTTTTGGACAGTTTGATCAAAAGATAAAGCATCTTCATATCATCCTTGACTGCCTTACAGGTGGTGAAATGACACTCACAGTACAATCCAGGTTGCCTAACCCTCACAGTGGAATAGAAATTGCTTCTATGCAGCCTGTGCAGGTAAGGAATCATCAGAGAGAAAGACACAAGACAGCTGAAGTATATCTGTCTGTCCTTGGCACATAACCCTGGACATAAAATAATTGGTTTATTTCTCTTTCCTTGCCTTCATATTGGGCTATGAGTATCACATGTGACAATTTAAATCCTGCTGAATACCACCCCAATCCTTTTGCATTGTGCTGGAAGGTGAAGAACCTATGCTTTATCTGTGGGAGAAAATGTTTTCTTTCTGTTTCAGGGTCCGCTGTCCTTTGAACAGGTGGCTGTGTATTTCACCAAGGAGGAATGGGCCCTGTTAGGTCCTGAACAAAGAGCCCTGCACAGGAGAGTCATGGTGGAGAATTTTCCAAATGTGGCCTCTTTGGGTAAGATTCCCTTCCTGTCCCAGACAGGTGGATAACATCAAACTCTACAAGGGAAGCTTTATTGTTTGAACACTGGGTACAGTTCAGCAGCTCTTGAATACCTGGTAGGACTGTGAAATCTCTTTGGAGGCAGGGCTCAGGGATTATTGGAAGCTCTTTCTTTGCCAGGGCCACATTACAGGGCACCAAGGTTGGATGTTGCTGCCTCTTCACTCACATTTGGGGGAGAAAGAGTACTAAGAACAGAAGAAGAGTTGTGCCCGATCAGAGCAAGGGTTGATTTAGTCCAGCATTCTGTTTGCATAGTAGTCAACAACTGCCTCCAGGAAATGCACAACAAGGACATGAGTGCAACAGCAGCCTCCCACTCCAGTTCCCCAGCAACTGGTATACATCAGCATCCTTACTCTGATGCTGCAGGAAGCATATAGCTATTAGGGCAAGTAGCCATGGATAGCCTTTTCCATCAGTTTGTACAGTCTCCTTTTAAAGCCATCCACACTGCTGGCTATCACTGCTCTTGGAGGGTGTTTGCTTCTGGTTTGGACCTTCACTTCCTTGTGCTAGTCCACTGCTAAAGGTCAAGCTACACATTATGGATGAGCCCAATGATTGGAACTCTCTGCATATTTTTATTTTACAAAAAAGTAAACAGCAGGTTGGGGTGATTTGGATCTGGGCAGCAGGGGAAGGAGAGTTCAGCTCTTGGTTTCAGTACAGATTCTGAGCTTAAATTTCCTCTCCGCTGTCCCCGGACCACTATTAGCCAACTGGTTAAGCGCATACATTTCCCCATCAGTGGCTAGTAATAGCTTGGGAAGAGGGGTGATGATTCCTTTTTTAAAATAAAAAAACATCAGGAGTTCCAGTCATACAGCCCCTGAACTTACGGCATGGTTTGAGGATACATGATGCAACCTATTTGCTGAAGTTAAGCAGATCTAAACTTGGGATGTCTTATGCCTGGGAAGCTTCCATTCACTCCCTTGACTTCCAAGATGGAAGAAAGGCAGAATGTAAATATGCTAAACAAACTCCTACATTATATAAAGTTTGACCCCAAGAAGTAGGCTGCTCTGTTTTTTCTGTGCTTGCTTCAGAGTGCCACTTCAAGCCAAGCTCAGCAAAATACATCCTTCAGTGCCAGATCCAAACATTAGTACTCCAACATTATAACTCTTCTTGTGTAGGAGTTATAATATCTTGCCATCCCTTGTGCAGCCTTGGGAGACAGGAGAGGAGTTTCAGAAATAGCTGATTTGAAACTTATCTGAATATTTCTGCAATTGGCGATTACTGCTCTGTCTTTTAGAATGTAAGCCATGCTAGATCAGACCAAACTCCTGTTTGGAGAGTTCCCTAGCAACTGCTGTATGTAGGCATACTGCCTCTGATGAAGGAGACAGCATATAGCCATCATGATTAGTAGCCACTGACACCTTTATCTTCCATGAATTTCTCTGATCCCCTCTTAAAACCGTCCAAGTGAGCGGCTATTACTACATCTTATGATGGCAAATTCCAGTTTAACTGCATGTGAAAAAGTCATTCCTTCTGTCTGTTCCAGATCTCCCACCATTCAGCTTCACTGGATGATCCTGGATTCCAGTATTATGAGTATTATTTTCTTCACATTGTGCATAATGTTGTGCACTGCTGACATGTCTTTCCTAATTTATCATTTTTCTAAGACTCAGTCATTAATTTTATTTGCAGGGGAATTGCTCCAGCCCCTCAATCATTTTAGTTGCCTTTTTCAGCACTTTTCCCAATTCTGCAATATCCCTTTTTAGGTGCAGCGACCAGAAGACGATACAGTATTCCTAGAGTAGTTGCACTGTTGACTTGTACTAGGGTATTATGATATTGTGCGTTATTTTCAATTATGTTTCTAATTATGGCCAATATGAATTTTGCCTTTTTCATAACACTGGGTCATTGAGCTTTCCCTGATGGCCCTAAGGTCTCTTTCTTGGTCAGCCACCAAAAGCTCAGATCCCATCAGCGTATACATGAAGTGTGGATTTTTTGCTCCAGCATATCCTATTTTACACTTGCTTGTGTTTAACTACTTTGCTATATTAATTCCTTCAATGTGGAGATACACTTTGTAACTCTTTCCAATCACTTTTCATTTTAATCTTTCTAAATAATTTTTTGCCATCGACAAACTTGGCCACCTTACTGTTGGCCTCCATTTACAGATCATTTATGAGCTAGATAAGCACAGGTCCCAGTCCAAAACCTTGGGGACGATGGTCAGGCACAGTTCACATCTCTCCATTTCAAGAACTGGCAAATTATTGTTTCAGGGTTAATGGCACCTAAATGATTGCACTTCTGGAGGGCTTCATTTTCTCAGTCATACTTTTACAAGTTCTCTCCCTGTTTTCCACCAGGCAATAAAAAAGAAAGGGAATTATGGGGTGTTCTGTTGGAAAGAGCTACAACAGAGGGGGCACTAAAAAGAAGAAAAACTGAAGTGAAACAGAATCAGAAGCAAACATCTATTCTTTTCCAGAGTGATGACTTTCACATTCTCTAAATCCAAGAAAAAACAGACAAAATTAAGAAAAGGACTAGTTTTCTGTGTTTGGAAAAAACTTAAGATTGAAATCAAGACACAATGCTCACAGGAGAATTCACACTGGAGTGAAACCCAATACAAGTTCTGAATGTGGAAAAAGCTTCATTCAATGGATGGCTCTTAATGCATATCAAAGAATGAGTGCTGCAGAAAATCCTTATGAATGCTTAGAGTATGGAAAGAGCTTCAGTCTAAACACATCCTTTACCAGACACCAAAGAATTCACACAGGAGGGAGACCATATAAGTTATCAGATGCAAGATATGATACTGAACACCTTAAACAACATGATAATAGAGTTTACACAGAGGAGAAACCCTATAAATGTTTGGAGTGTGGAAAGAGCTTCAATGTGAGGTCAGCCCTCACTAGACATCAAAGAATTCACACAGGGGAGCAACCATATGAATGCTTGGAGTGTGGAAAGAGTTTCAGTTTAAGTACATCCTTTATCCGACTTCAGAGAACTCACACGGGAGAAAAACCATCTCAGTGCTCAAACTGTGGTATGAGTTTTCCTAATTTAGAATCCCTTAAAGATCATCACAGAGTTCACACAAGGCAGAATCTGTATAAATGCTCAGAGTGTAGAAAGAGCTTCACTCGGAGTGGAACCCTTGCTAGGCATCAAAGAATCCACACAGGGGAGAAACCATATGAATGCCTGGAGTGTGGAAAGCGCTTCAGTCAGAACACAACTTTTAGAAGACATCAAATTCACACAGGAGAAAAGCCATATAAATGCTCAGATTGTAGCAAGAGTTTTTGTGATAATCATACCTTAAAAAACATCATAGAGTTCATACAGAAGATAGAGCCTATAAATGCTTGGAATGTGGAAAGAATTTCAGTAAGGAAAGAACCCTCACTTCACATCAAATAAAGCACAAAAGAGAAAAAAAGTATAAATGCTTGGATTATGATCAGGCCTTCAGTCACAACATAGGTATTAACAGACATTAAAGAATACAAACAGGAGAAGCCATGGAAATGCTTGGAATGTTTATAGCAAAGATTCCTCACAGAGAAGGTCCCATACAAAAAGCTCAGACTGTAGCACGAGCTTTTGTGATCTCCCATACCCTTAAAAAGGTTGTAGTGTTAGGGAAGCTGGGAATTCCATCCACAGTGGAAAATGCTTCACTCAGAACAATGGTCCCTCCTGTGATTCCTAGAAAGGCTCAGAGAAATTCAGGTATTGCACAGATCTTTACAAAAGCATTCAAACTTGTATGGATGCATATAAATACACAAAAGCTTTTCTAACCAATCTAATCTTAATTATCACAAAATCCATACAATGACTATAAATGCTCCATCTGCCTGTGAATCTGTCCTTTGCATTATACATAAGAAAATAATGGCAATTCCATGAACCCTTGGCAGCATCATGAAGACCATGAGGTTGTGTAGATTCCCAGCTCCAAAGCTGGAAAAAAAGCCCTGGCCTCAAAGCTGGGAATTGGCAACCAAAGCACCTTGCCATAGCCAGCTTAGCAAGAGCTACATGGTCTGCTTCTCTGAGGTTGAGGAAGTGACCTTGGAGAAGGGGTTAGGGGGCATTCTAGGGGACGTGGAGTGATGAAGAGTGATGCAGCAGTCTTCTGGCTGCTGGCACAGCAAATGGCGTACAGAGGTGACTTCCTGCAGCCTGCATAGGATGACCATAATCCTCACTTTGGAGGGTTATGGGCAGCCTCATGGGTAGGAAATGATGTGTTGAGCCATTCTACTCTTACGAGATTCAACTTTATAATTAGGCACATAATCAGTCACCTGAATTTTGATCCATAAAAAACTTCTGCTAGTGACTATAAGAGAAGGGTTACAACTGCCAGATGAGGAGGTCCAATTTACTTCTCATGGCTAAGAACTATGGATAGACTTTTTCTTCCTAAATGTACCTGGTTTTTGAACCCCTTTAAGCCACTGCTCATCCCCTTATCTCATGGCCATGAATACCATAGATTGTTGATGCTTTATGGGAACATGCACTTCTTTTGATCCAACCTGCCTCTGTTGCCAACCAGTTACATTGGATGACCACCAAGAGCTCTAATATTATGACTTTCTGCATCATGCAAAGTCCTATAAATTTCTTATCTCTTTCTAAACTGAAAATTCCTGTGCATAGACATCTTCTTCAACCAACTGCAAAACTCAGAACTCTTTCTTCTCCCTTTCTTGCCTGCTATCCCTGAACAGTTTTCTAGTCTCTGCTTGCTTCAAGTTGTACTTCAGTGTAGAGCCGACTTCCCCAGCTTTGGTTCCTGAAGCCTGGGAGTAATGGGTTAGCAC